AGAGAGAGAGAGAGAGAGAGAGAGAGAAGGTGCAGCTCACAGAAGAGAGGCCGCTGATTACAGCCCACTAATTTGTTATGCACTCCGGCAAATCAGCGGTGATTCATATGACAAATAAGGAGAAAAAATTAACAGCTGTCATGTTGTGATGTGTTAATTTCCTGACAGTCTCTGCACTGAAGCCAATTACTGATTTAAGGGCAGGGAGAGAGAGCCCTGTTCAAGCTTCTAATTAGGCTTCTTCAAGACTAAAAGGATAAAAGCAAAAATAAGAGCAAGAGAAGGAGGCAGGTAGCTGGGCTCCGCCGAAGCTCACATGCTTTTAAAGCCCCAGTTAAATAGCTTTAAGCTTAAGTGTGTTTAAGATAAGAATTTAGAAACATTTATTCACTTTTATCCCTGACCTGGTGGTTTAGGCTTTTGTGGAGTAATTGGGAGTCGAGCAAGGCCCACGGCTCCTTGTTGCCCTCTTTCTACACGAGACCAGGCTCTCAGATGTAATCTACTAATAATACCTTTGTTTAGTCATGTCAACAACCATTCATCACCGTGGTAGACAAAGGGCGGTGGGCACCCCACCAGCTTCCTACTTGGAGATCCCGCAGAAAGCGTGTGGTCTGGGGCTGTGTCTCTGTGGCTCTCAACAGCCCTGTTTGGCATTGACCTCCCCGCCCCCCAACAGAGGGCAGAGCGTGGGGGGCAGTTGCTAAGGTCTGCGTGCTTAGACATCAAGGCAGCCTCCATATAGATCCAAGGGAGAGGAGAATTTGGACATCATTGACTTGACCTTCTTTTTTTTTTTTTTCCTAACGTTCTTTATTGTCTGGTTCTTTCTATGACATCTCTGTGGATCCAATTATCCAGAATATGAACGGATCTACTCCAGAGACCTCAGAGGTCTCTTGAGGGCAGAGGTGGAGAGAGCTGGCTACTGAGAAGCTCATCCTCGGCTGTTCTAGGCACATTGGCACTTCATCAAAGTTATCGACAGCAGGAACTCCTACCTGGTTCCGTCGTCATGATCCACGAGAAAAGCGGGACTCCAGGGATCAGGAGCCACACAGTGTGACCAGCTTACTCAGGTGGCTCCTTTTCAATTTTGCTTTCTAAGAAGAGAAGTGCCTTTTC